GGCACTTATTGAAACATAAAAATATCATGACAATCCATTTTAGTGCTTGTTTCAGGTTTTAAGTTATTTATTTGTTAAGTTAGGTAGAAAGTCTTGTCACCTGAAGATTTGTGATAAATAGGTACAAAGGCAACTTTCATGACATAGATTTTTTGCACAGTATTTTAGAGAAATATAATTTTATTAAACTCGACTGGCCTGGTGGCACTGTCAAGTCAGCATTGGACTGCTAACCACAAGGTCAGCAGTTCAAACCCCACAAGAGAAAGGTGAGTTTATCTGCTCCTATAAATGTTCACAGCTTGAAACCCTACGGCAGTGAGATTTGGAAAGCTAATAACCAGTATGAAATTTATTATGAAATGGTACTTTCCTTGACATGTTTGCTAATTGATTGTATCATTTCATATACATTATCTCATTTTATTCTCATTCCTCCAAATGATGAGTATCCTGTTCTCAATTTGTTCCATTCTATGAGTAAAGAAATTAAAGATGCTATAGGTCCCTGAGCTAGTTATTCATTCTGAATACTGGAATTTAGATCAGTCTTTCTAATTCTGAATGTGTAGTTCTTTCTGTCTGGTTTTCTTTCTAGCTTGTTCTTATAAATTTGTTTTTTAAACAATTATGAAGATCATATAAAATAATGATCATAGCGAAAGACTATATACAGAGCTCCAAACGCGACTCCATTGAAGCTTTCAGATTTCCTTTTAGGAGTTTCTGTACACTGAGTTACAACCTCTCATCAAAGCGGTACGCCACACATCTCAATTGCATTATCCACTACTGAGAACAGATTAATACATTTGTAGTCTTTTTAAAAGCCATTGTTTCAGTCAGAACTGTGTCGTTATTGATTTGTCGATAGCAAAGATTTTCTGAGTTGACTTTGTGACAAGGCTATATGTATCTGGTGGTTAGCAGTCAAAACCCATCTAAGCAAAGCGTTTGGCCAGAGATTTCTCTTTTGCCTATAAGACGCTTCAATCTGTGATCGCCTAATTACTGTGACAAGTAACTCATTGGCATAGTAGTATGCATCAGGGAATTGAGACAAGACCAAAGTGAAATAGCTTGTAAAATATTGGGCCAGTGTATTCTCATTGTAATAAACTGTATTTCCACTACCTATACTTTTAATTTTTATCAAGATAACAAATATTTAGGCTAGTTAATTTTGGTTTGGAGTATAAACAATGATATGATAAAAGTCATATCATGTATATGAAGTCAGATACATCATATCTGTTGGGTATTTTGAAATTCCATGGCTTCTAAAGTCCACAGATATGCAAGTCCTTTATATGAAATGGTGGTGTTTTTGCATATAAACTGTGCACATCATGTATATCAAAAGCATCTCTAGATTACTTATAATGTTATATAATATACATGCTACAAAATAAAACCAAACTAGACTCTTGGTCTTTGAGGGATTGCTTTGACAACTTATTTGAGCCCTCATCCTTACGCTCATGCTCATGCTTTCAATCCAAGATTAGCTGAATGGATAGATTTGAATCCTCAGATACAGAAGATTGATTGTCTCAATGCCAATGTCACTTCTGTTGTTTTTACCAATGCTATTTCTAAAGGAGCATTTAAGACAATGGGTTGCATTTTCATAATTAAATAGTGATAAGTAACATCTTCATGGTAATTTTCAGATGGATAAAGATAGTGAAACCCATGTAAAAATATAGCACATAAGGCATTCCATGAGTCCAATTTCCCACCTTGATTGCTCCAGAAGAGTGGATTGCCTGGAGGCCAAGGAACAGCTCACTACATCGACTGATATCTCTTCTTTCTGCCTAGTATTTGTCTGAGGCAGACACTCCTTCAAGCAGAGATTTAAGGAAGAGCCTGGAAACAAAGAGAAGAAAGCTACCGTACAGGAGAACAGGTCTCTGTTGGCTCAGTAGTCTCTGACTTTCGGTCTCTAGGACATGTCTCCATCCTCCCACTTAAAAAACAATATATTAGGAACACTCCAAATACCTTGACAAAATGGAAATAATTCTAAACAGTCATTTCAGAATTTTACTGAAAGAAATGGTACCCTAATGAGGTTTTCATTTTGCTGTGTTAATCTAGTATATGATTTTCATGTTTCTCTGAGCAGTCCGTTTCACGAAACGATCCAGTTTGCCAACTCAGGTATTAAGCTGCTCAAGATAGATTACATAAATAAGCTAAGGTTCAACGTTGGGAGAGTTGATCCCTTGTTGGCAATGGTGGGGTTCAGCCAGCTTACAACAATTCCACAGAACTGATACCTACGTTTTTGAGTGAGGTCAGCAAACCAACTGTTAACATGGCACTTTTTACGCAGCTTCCATCTACGGTGGGCAACTGGGAAGCCACCCAAGGTGGAAACTGCAAATTTACATGCCTTATTTTTTCTAAAGCTCATCTTTGCAACAGCAAGCACCATGGTATGCTTATTCTGTCCATAAGCACAAAACATTAGAAGGAACTATGTTTGTGATATTTATGTATTCATTTCATAAAACCCATTATACTTTTTGGTGAAATGCTACATTATTATTCCTTTGCATTTGTTACATCAGTAACAATAGATCGTAAAGAGAAAAAGTGCCAAAGAACCAGAGGGTGGCATGCTGCCATTCGTTTCAGCCTTGTGTCTTGTCCCAAATTCTCGCAAGATACTATGAGTAAATTATGCAATTCCTCAAAGTGTTTTAAGAGCTAAAAATATTGTCAGAATAATTGCCTTATGTTCAGCAGAATGGGAAAGGGTTTTTTCAAAGGTGAATATATGTTCAGAGAAGATAAGTCTAATTTCTAATATATCAAATGCAGACTATTGTCAAATAGACCTAGCTCTAAAGAAATGGGACCCTACTTCCACTGTGAAAAGTGGTTAAGGATAAATCACACAGCCAATGAGTCTTGGGCGAAAGCAAAGAATATTGCAAGTGAGTACAGTATGTCATCAAGAAGCAATATGGAAATATCGTAAGTAAAAGTTTTACTGTTTTTTGTCAGGTATTACTTTATATTTTATTAATATTTAAAACTCATAACATAATCTAGTTTTATGCACCTTTTTATTCTTCGTAAGTATTAACTGTATGAAATAATAAACTACCTTGAGATATGTCAGGTTTTTATAATCAAAATGGTCGTTAGGGCAGAGAACCAGTCATTAAATTATTTGAACCCCACCACTGATTCAAAGTGTGTGGAAATTTGAAAGTTCAATTTTAATTTTAAAGTTCAATACCTTCTTTGATATTTCTGCTGCTTTCATCAGTATATTTTACCAACTTTCCAGGATGAAAAATAAGTTGTTCTCTAGGTAAGAGATACCATCAAATCGTAAACTTGCCTGAGACAGACTCACAGAGGCCATTTGTTCATTTAAATTTTGAATTTTTCCCAGAGGATATTTTTCTTTTAAGATAACATTCTTATGTTTTGCTGATTAGCTTTGATGATTAGCCATTATTTTAGAAGTCTAATCAGGAAAATTTAGAATGAGTATGCTTATTTTATTTCTAGTTTTTTTAAATCATTTTATTGGGAGCTCATTTTATTGGAGTATCATAACATTCCATAGTTTAATTACATCGAGCAATATTGTACAATTGCTACCACAGTTTCAAAGCATTTTCTTTCTTCTTGAACTCCTTGCTATCAGCTTCCCTTTATCCCCTCCCTCCTCCACTCTCTCTCCCCCAAGAACTTTCCCCCTCTCTCTTTCTTCCTTTCCGCATCTTACACCCTCCAACATATCCATTCACTTATATTCTGTTATCGCTCCCCTTGAGTGAGGTTATATAGTCATCAATGGTATCAGCTACCCTTTGCCCTCCTTCCCCACTCCTCACTTCCCATTCCCTGAAGGAACCATTACTCTTGTTACTGCTTCTGAAGGGCTATCTATCTTGGCTTTTGTGTATCAAACAATCTTAGATATACAAATGAATATACGAAACATATGAGCATGTTTAAGGAGGCAAATTCAAATAAAACCATAATATTAAGAGGAGAAAATATTAAAGAACTAGAGGATAGTTATGTGTTTCACCAATGCTATACTGCACCCTGGATTTATCATCTCTTCTGTGTGGCCCTTTTGAGAGAGACTGTCCAATTACCTTGCAGGTGAGTTTGAGTCTCCACTACATTCCTACCCCTTTACATAGATTTGGTTGGTTGGTTTTGAACTTCTGATTCCTTTTCCTGTCAACACCTCATGATCACGCAGGCTGGTGTGCTTCTTTAATGTGGACTTTGTTGCTTCCCTGCTAGATGGCCACTTGTTTGACTACAAGCCTCTAAGACACCAGACACTGTAACTTTTAATAGACGGACATCCTGAGTTTTTTTCACTACGTTTGTTTACGTACCTGTGTTGTCTTCAGGGATCCTGTCAAGGAGATGAATATCATATAATGCCACATTATTAGAACCATTCGTATACTGAGATAAGATTTAAGTAGAGGCCCAAAGTCCTTCTGCTTCCTTGCTGCATTTGCATTTACATATGTATATTAAAAACAAATATACCTATATTTACATATGTACATATATATATATACACTATATTTTTTATTTCTTTATATTTTTTCTCCTCCTGCCCCACTATCATGTTTATCCATCATTTACCTATCAGTAATTCCTCTTAAATACAACACTATTGATCAAACCTGACCAGAAAACCAGCATCCTCCTTGCCGTCAATTTTATTTTTTGTTCTAGTACCTGACTGACAATTCTATTTATAGAGAAATTTGATGAGAACTGAAAATAGGTCACATGATCATCCGGTGTTATCCTGTGACCCTGGTCATTATTTGCATTATTCGAAAATAACTGTATAAATACCCAATGAATCCTCACGTGAACACTCCAGCTGCCGTCTCCTATACGGACGTCGCGGACACCAACGAGGGATGCTCCAGTCGCCTTTGAGGTGGCTCAGTGACTTATAGGTAAAAGATAGCACACACACGAAAACACACTTTTCAAATTCATAGACATGCTTTAAAATATTTATTATTCCATAATAAATAAAATTTCCATTTACATAGCTTTCTATATAATTGTCTTCAGTAAAAAAAATTGCATAGCAACACAGTGCAATAGTGAGGCGTATCATCCAGGAACAAAAGCACTCTCATTTCTGACTAGTTTGAACTCCATCGACAATCAAATCAGAGATTCCCTTGACAAGTGGACGCTCTCCATAGGGTGGTCCTTCCTACAGGACTTTGCTTGAAAATTAATGACTGGGACCAATGGACTTAGCAGAAGTGCCTTTCCTTCATGTAGAAATGACACTCAAAAGTGCACAGAGTTGCTTGGCCCTTGTACTCTTACCATGGAAGGTATTTAAATAAAAGGAATCATTCAGAAGATTAACTTACCAGGTACGCTACCCACTAATTCCTTTCTTCTGTGGTTAACTGAAGAGTGGTCCTTTTTGGGGGGCCATATTCTTAGTGGGTGTTCTAGAATCCTATCATCTGAAAATATAATTTATATCTGCATGATTTAGGATTTGTGAGGCTACAAATTTAGGGAGAGGGTAGATAAAGGAAGAACTTGAGAGAAACAAATTAGAAAAAGAGCAACCGGTGGTTTAGCTTACCACTAAGGCTCAAAATAAAAATGCAAAAAGAAGTATTCGAAGGACTCAAAATTGTATTTATGCCAATTATAAAATTCTAGGGTGTCCACATTCATAAACAGAGTTGCACAATATAAAAAAAGAGAGTAACTATGTAGCTCCTGGAGACAGATATTGACACTACATCCCATTGATCATTTTCTCATCTTTCCTGGCATCTTGTTTTAGGTGAAGGGAGATGTGTAAGATGCACTATCAGCATCAGCAACAACTAGAAATCAAACCAAAGCAAAATACCGCCCTCTCAAACTAGGGCTTTTAGTGCAAATCCAAGCATACATGAGAACTGCACTCAAAAGCAGTGTAGAAGGAATGTATTATATGACTTTACATGGAATACTGTTTTAATATTATAATTCTATCACGCGTATGACTAGAGATTAAGTAGACAACAGTTTTGTCTTAGGCACAGAATTTAAAAATAGTTACTTTCATCATAGATAACAAAGCAAAAGCAAAACCTGCTTTGTATATTTGAGTACAAGTATTGGAATTGAGTACTTCATAGACTTTTTTCATTTAATTCACAAAATGAATTGGGATCAGTATTATAATATTGTATTTACATATATCTTTTAAACATAATTTTACTGACAATTATTTTACACATATTTATATAAAAGTGAAACATATAAACATTCCTTCATATACATACGAGCCATCTTAATGAGTGGAAGTATCCTTTTCAATGTAAACACTGTTCCAGAACAATTTACAGAGAAGAAAGTCATTTATTCCTCCAAAAAGAAAGCATTATCAATACCCCTGTCATTCAGCAGATCCCCCTCTCAGTTTCTCAGCTAACTCTTGTCTCACTTCAATGTGCTTTTCTAAGTTCTGCACTTCATGTGGGAGATTGATGTCCCAAACAGACAAGCAAGACTGTATCTCTAGGAAAGAACAAAGAAAGCTATGTTACAAACATCCGCCCTAAGTCATTTCAATTTACTTTAATTTTGTTACTTTATATTTAGTTAACTTGAGCAAATGCATATATAAATAAGGGTATAAATCATTTCCTGAGTCAGTGTCATTCATAAGAAATTATATATGACAAATATGTATAAACAAGGTTCCAAGAAGATATTTAATAACCTTGCAATTCTTTTTATCAAAAAAATAAAGCTTTATCAAACATTTTTTCAAAACGTGACCTCGATTTTATATAAACATATTGTATGGAAAATTGACATCTGGTTTAAATTTGGGCTGCTTCTCATTTTATAAGGCTTTCTATCATGATCCCATCTTTTACAGAAATTGATACTGTCAAATCCCTGATGTTTCATTTTATAGAATTATGTCAAAATTGTTCATATTATAAAGTGATTGCCAATTAGAATGCTGAAAATAGTATAGCCCAGGTGATATTTACTCTAAATTTATAATACCTAAATCTAGCTCTTTGCCATCGAGTAGATTCTGACTTATAAAGCCCCTATGAAGGCAGCCTAGAAAACTGCTTCATAGGCTTTCCCGGCTGTAATCTTTACAGAAGCAGACTGCCACCTTCTTTGTTCTTTTTCTGCAGAGAGTCTGGTGGGTTTGGATTTCTGATTTATTGGTTGGTAAACAAATATTTAACAACTGTACTAGCAGGGTGACAAATTCATCAAAAGTACATGCAATTTTGCCATCACACATTATTCATTTGGAATACAAAACCCTATCACACGTTACCTTTTTGGTGTTCTGTACTTTCAGTACTTTTTTGATTATAGCCCAAAACCAGCATGACATTTTTAAGGCTTCCTTTAGCAAAGGGAAAAAAAGAGAGATTTTCATTAAAACAATACAATAAGTTGAACCAAAACAATTGCAGTGGTTCATATTTTAAGATACAACTATCTTGGAACAATTCTACATTTTAGGAGACATGTCGATGACACTGAATAACTAAGTCTCTAAGAAGAACAATAATTTTTATTGTTAAGCTAGAAAATCTATGATCTACTGTTGGCTATAATTCTGATTAGTGACTAGGTAAACTTAAATTAATGGTGTAATTTAACTTTGAGCAAAAGGAGATGAATATGGACACAGGAGCCTCCAAAGTTCAAATATTAAATAAGACAATGCGTGTGAAGGTGCTGTAGGTAATGAAAGGCACCGATCAAATGTAAAGCATTTGGATGGATAATTATCACAGTAATATTCTGTCCTAAAAGTATGCTTTCCTCTTCAGTCACGCATTACTTTATTTTTAAAATATTCATTAAAAATCCTCTATATTAGACATAAGGCTAGGTCCAAGACATGAAGGAGTGAAAGACAGCATGCAGATTATATGTACAAAAGACTATTTTCTAGTGAGGAAACTCACTATAATCCAAACAATCTTGACGACAATCAAGGGTATGTGAGAAATGTATTATGAGAGCCCAAAGTGAGAGCTTTTACCTAGTCAGGGTTGACTTGTCTCAGAATTTGACATCTGAGGTGTGAGGATTTTAAGAGTCAGAATTAACTAAGCCAATGAGGTAGGCGAAGTCAGATCACAAGCAAATTAGAAAATGGCAGATGCGAAAACTGGAAGTGAGGAGAAAAGTGACCAGAACAGAATGAAAGTCGCCCTGTCACAGGAGATGTGAGGGGTGAGGTACCGCATGGACATGGAAGTGGTGAATGTCAGACCACAGCACGGAGATGGATGTGCTGAATTCAAGTCAGACCAGGCAGAAAAACTGTGGTGGTCCGGTACCATCAAGTTTGTTCCCACCCATCACGTCCCTGTCTATGTTCAACAGAACCACGCACTGCCTGGCCCTGTGCTATCCTCAAAATTGTTGCTCTTAGGAGCCCATTTGCACGTCACAGCCACTGTGTAATCCATCTCATTGTGGGACTTCTTTTCCACTGCCCTTTTACTTTACCAAGCGTGAGGTCCTTAACCAGGGACTGGTCTCTTCTGAAAACATGTCTAATGTTCTTGCCTCTAAGGAGCATTCTGGCTGTCCTTCCAAGAGAGAGTTGTTTGTGCTTTTGGCAATCAATACACTTGACCAACAACCTAATTAAGATGCATTCATTCATTTTCGGTCTCCCTAATTCACTAATGTTAACTTTCCCAAGCACATGAGGTGATTGAAAATCACTATACTATATATACCATCGTATCGGGTCAAGCACACTTTAGTATTCAAAATAACACCCTTGCTTTTCAATACTCAAGATGTCCTGTGCTGCAGATTTACCCCAGGCAATACACAGCTTGAGCTCTTGACTGTTGTTTCCATGATGACAGATTGTGGGTCCAAGCAAGATGAAATCTTTCACAACTTCACTCTTCTCCATTTTATCATGATGTTACCTATTGATCTAGTTGTAAGGATTTCTGTTTAATATGCGCATATATTGAGTTGTAATTTATACTGTGGGCTGCAATCCCTGATCTTCATCAGCAAGTGCTTCAAGTCTTTCTCACTTTCAACAAGCAAGGTTGTGTCATCTGCATAGTGCAGGGTGTGGATAAGCCTTCCCCCAATCCTGACGCTGCATTCTTCTCCGCACACTCCAGATTCTCTGATTATTTGCATACAGGTTGGATAAGTATGGTGAGAAGATAAAACCCTGAGGCACACTTGCCTAATTTTAATCCATGCAGTAGTCCATTGAAATGTTCACACAATTGCTGCTTGATCCACGTACAGGTTCTGCATGAGTCCAAAGGAGTGTTTTGAAATTCCCATTCTTCTCCAGGCAATTCTTAGTTGTTGTTATTTTTTTATGATACACAGAGTCAAATGCCCTGGCAGAGTTAACAAAACACAAATAAACACCTCTTCTTTCAGCCAAGATCTATCTGACATCAGCAATGATATCCCTTGTTCTATATCCTTTTTTGAATCCAGCCGAAACCTCTGGTAGATCCCTATCAATGTACTGCAGTAATCATTATTGAATGATCTTCAGCAACATTTTACTTGCATGTGATATCCAGTGTATTCTCTATATTTTGTGTAATCTGTTGGGTCACCTTTCTTTGGAGTGGGTACAAGTATGTATCTCTTCTAGTCAGTTGACCAAGTAGCTGTACTACAAATCTCTTGGCATAGACAAGTGAGTGCTTGCAGGGCTTCATCAGCGTGTTGAAACATTTCAACTGGTCTTCCATCAATTCCTGATGGCTTCTTTTTGCTAATGCTTTCAGTGCAGGTTGGATTTCTTCCTTCAGCACCATTAACTCTTGCTCACATGCTACCTCTTGAAACCGTTGAATGTCAATGAGTTATTGTTTGATACGATCTTCTGTATTCGTTCTATCTTCTTTTGATGCTTCCTGCAATGATCAATATTTTGCCCATAGAATTCAGAGCTTGATTTTTTCTTTATTTCTTTCACGTTAAGATATGTTGTTCTTCATTCTGGTCTTCTAGCGCTAAGATTTTGCACATTTAATGATAATAATTTATCTTCTTGAGCTGTCCTTTGAAATTTTCTGTCCAGCTCTTGTCATTTCTATGTACCTTAGCTACTCTATGATTGAGAGAAAGTTTCAGAGTCTGACATCAACTTTGATCTTGTCTTTCCTGTTTTTCCAAGGGCCATTTGCGTCCTTGCATATTATGTTCTTGATGTCATCCCACAGCTGATCAGGTCTGTCATCAGTGTTCAAACTGTTCTTGAGATGTTCTCAGATTTCTGGTGGGGTATATAAAGGTCATAGTTTGGTATCCGTGGACTTGTTTTAAGCTTCTTCAGCTTCAACCTGAACCTATATATGAGCAATTGATGGTCTGTTCAACGTTGGTCCATAATATTGACTTTCTCTATCTTCTCTTCTGCAGAGGTAACAATCAATTTGTTTTCTGTATATTCTATCTGGAGGTTAGAGATAAAGAAGTGGTTGGTTTGGCAAATTCTATCATATGATCTATAGCTTTATTTTTTATCACCAAAATGATCTTTCCAACTACTCTTCTCTCCTCTTTGTTTCCAACTTTTGCATTCATTGTTAATAATTATTCATCTTGATTGCATGTTTGACCAATTTCAGACGGAAGACATTGGTAAAATTCTCCAATTTCTACATCACTAGCGTTAGTAGTTGGTGCTGCATTGGAACAATAGTTGTACTGACTGGATTTCCATGGATACAGAGAGATATTATCCTATCACCGATTACAGAGTACTCCAAGAGAGTTCTTGAAATGTCCTTCTGGGCAATGAGTGCAATGGCATTCCCCTTGAAGCTGTCGTTCCCAGCCTAGTAAACCATATGAGTTTCCAAATCAAAATGGCCAATACCAGTCAACTGTCACTCACTAACACTTAGAATGTCAAGCTTTATGCATTCTATTTCATTGCTGACCACTTTTAATTCCTGTGATTCATACTTCATACATTCCACTTAACTGTTTCTGCTCCTTATGAGCTGTGCCCCATGAGCAAATGAAGGTCCTGAAGGCTTTACTTTCTCAGGCTTTACTCCATCCACATCATTATGATCAGCTGTATTTTGAGATGGCAGCTCTTCCTTAGTCATATTTTGAGTGCTCTCCGATCTAAGGGCTCATTTTCTGGCACTATCTCTGACAATGTTCTGCCACTATTCCTTTGGTTTTTAATATCAAACAATATTTCACTGCTATCCATAAGATTTTCAGTGACTATTTCCTTTGAAGTGGACAGCCTATCCCTTCTTCATGGTGTATTCTTAGGAAGTTCTATCAAAACTTAGTCACTTAGGATGAATCGGCTGGTATGTTAAATACCAGTCACATAGTTCCCAGCATCACAGCAACACACAAGCCACCAATGCACAACAAACTGACAGACAAGTAGTGTCAGGGCCTTGCAGCGATTTTAAAATAAATCATCTTAAAATCTGTCATCACTTGTTGATATCTCATGATCCATTACAGATATGAATGACTGAAACATATGGGACTCAAATATGAAGATTACATTAGAGGATAATATTCAAAATTGAAAAATTGGTGAGGGTTCATAACAAACTCCTGACTTTCTTTAATAAAGTGTTATAAATGGAATGTACATTTTCTTCACCAGGTTCAAACACATTTTATATATATTTATATATATATATACACACACACACATATAGCATATCTATAAATCAAATTGCTAATAAAAAAGAAACATTGAACTGCATTTGTGTATAAAATATATTTAATGTTCTATCATAATTTCATCATATTCAAATAGAGTAGAGAGTAAGAAAAATGTGTTAATTTGAGTAAAAATACATTCTGATATATCCATATTTGTAGATTGTGGACTTCAGAATATTTTGCTCTAAGTATATTCATTTGTTAATAAAATGAAAAACCAAATAAGATTCTTAACAACGGCAAAGTTTATACTATGATTTTTAAAACTCATTTTAGATTCTTTGCCAAAAAATGTGAAAATACTCAGTACTGTGCATTTCCTACATTTGCCTTAGCCACGTAAAAAAAAGAAATAAGACCAAAATTTGATGCTTTGCTGCAGAAATCTGCATTTATCATGGATTTAGGACCATCTGATCCCTCAATATTTTTATGACCCTGTTCAAAAGGTATCACAATTCCATGTTTCATTGTGCATAACTTCGAAGAGGCTTTAAATGTCATTGTAAGGAATAGAGAAAATAAAATTGAATTGAAGTATATTTTTGCAATCGATAGCAATTACAATGAAAGCAGTAAGGAAACTTGCCTAGCTGTGCGGTCATCATGACTCTAACAGACTCACAAAAGTTGTGAATTATCCGTATAACGCGACGAGTGGGCAGATCAAGAAGCAGGATGTGGCCCCCTCCGGTTCCTATCCAGAGAGCAGTGTTCTTCTGCAGGGAGAGGGTTTTCACTCTCCCTGAATAAGACATTTTGTGCTTTGATTCCTTGTTTCCTTTTACCATTTCCTCCCTAAAACCATGAAGAAAATATATGTTGGTCATTTTATCAACCTCTAAGAGATATATGTGTCTATGCACATATACAAATAGATGTATATCGTATTTTAAATTATGAGTATATTACAGCATACATTATTTCATTGCCATCAAATCAATTCTGATTCATCGTAACCCATAGGATGAAGTAGAACTGCCAGGATTCCTGAGACTGGTAGTTACAGGCTGAACTTTAATCCATGATATTCCAGGGCTCCTTAATATACTTTACCCCAAACTAGAACCCACCACCATCCAGTCAGTTCCAACTCACAGCCACCCTACACAGGACTTCAAGACCATAAATCTTTATGGGTGCAGACAGTCTCAGAGCAGCTGATGAGTTTGAATTATCCACCCTGCCATCAGCAGTCCGACATTTACTTGGTAGACCTGCCAGGCATCCTTCGTATACATTATACGTCGTTAAAATTGTACAGAGCTATGTTATAAGGAGCCTTGCAGACAAGGTTGGCAGTTCAAACAATTCAGCCACTCTGTGGAAAAACGATAGGCTGTACTGTTCCTGTAAAGATTTACAATCTCAGAAACCCTTTTTAGGGTCACGAATAATAGGATTATACTAGATCCCTGTGTTGTTGTTGTTCCCTGCCTGAAGTATAAATATCAAAAGTAACACAATAGCTCCTTAGCCTTAGGATATTCTGAAATAAATAAAATGAAAATTATTTTTACAAATATCAAATTTGTGTATTCCAATTAAAATAGAATACATTTTCCCAATATGAACGAAAAAAAATATTTCAAAAGCTTTCAAGAAGTACCAGAGTTTCAAAGGAAAATCAAGTTAGTGTTATATGTGAAAAATGTGGGGCCTAGAAATAAAAGAATCCCAATATTTTGGTATTTCACACATGTAAAGGTCCCATTACCAAGCAGAATGGCTGCCCCTTCTAAACATAAACTGCCTTACGACCCAGTGAAGCACTGTGTGAAGGATCTAGGAAAGCTAATGTTGAAGTTCCATTGTAAGGCTACAGCATGCAACCTAAAACTTCCCCAGGCTATGAAACAAACTACATCCCCAGAATACAGATACAGAGTGCCTGGCCAGCAAGCTTGCTGACAGTCTTGTGTCCGAGCACCAGCACAAAGGGATGGGTTTGATGACACAGCTGAGATGTCTCTCTCATCAGATAGATTAGACCGAGGACTAAAGTCTGCTCCTCTGAGCCCACAGGCAGGCAGCAGGTCTGCCTTTCCCACCTGTTTCTATTGTTATGGCTCCTTTCTTTGCCTTAGAGCCGAGGACCCTGGGACTACACTAAGACACGATCGACATACAGCCAGTATGAACCCAGCATGCATCACTTATAACAAGATGCTATTTTTTTCTCATTAGAAAATATACTATGAAAAGCCTTGAATAAGTGTCATACGTTATATTACCACTTTTCTAATTTATTTTTCCTAGGTAACATTTTTTAGGTATCAAGCCATGTTGCTAAACAATATTCAATTGTTTCTGAGCATAAAATTTCTTATTTTTCAACAGGATTGTCCTATTTTTATTTTTTAAATTTCTATTTATATATCTAAAGTTTCTAGTCAAATGCCTATCTTATATTTTCTAGATCTATTTAAAAACCTTTCTATTAAGTATTCCTTTAGGAAGGAAGAAAGATAAACCAGATTTCCTCCCTCTGTAAAATCTCTTACAAACAGAAAAATGAATTTACTTTAAAAAGTGCACACAGTCGATGAGCTCGCAGAGTTTTTCAGTTTTCTTATCCCACACTTCCACAACAGGGCTGTTTTTCTTAGCAATATAGAGAACCGTGTCCACGACCACTGCTATGATGTTGGAATCGCTGAATGCTGCATAAGAAAACCTAGGATAAAAAAAATCATTCACCACCATTCATTTTTATTCCACTCCAATATACAGTACAGCATTATGCTAGTTCTCAGTGTATGTGAAAGACGAATACGTTTCTGAAAAATGCATATCCATGCGAACTGAGAATGAGAATTGAGAGTTATTTCTGATTATCCCCTAGTTATGCTAAGGTAAATATATGATTGACCATGAGTTTATATTTTATATTGATTTTTATTGGCCATACTTAAATGTTACAACTAAGATTTATTTCTGATTTTTAGTTTTAATTTTAGTTCCTTCTGGTTCTCTATAGAATTTTATATTGCATATTCATCTCTAGAAGAAAAAGCATCAAATATACAGGAATTTTATGATACTTCAATAAAATTATTATTATTATTATTGAAAATGCTTAGAAAATGAAGGGCTAACTATTTATATCTACAGTGAAAACCCAAGGCCCTGAAGAGAATTGTAGCAGTAGTATCTTAAACATTAAAGCAAGGGATATCTTTACATCAACTCAAATGAGAAAAAAATATCTTCATGCTCATTCCGATGTAAGCAAAAAGTAAATTGTTTGTTTGTAATTTTCCTCCTCTGAAAAGAAAGGAAAAGGTGGAACATCTTAAAATATCTGTCTTAAAACCTAGCACATCTGGCACTTTACATATTTAACAAACAGATTGACTGCCACAGGCCCCATTTGCCTAGCAAACCCCTAGTTAGCCGTTGAGCCTTAACATAAATGTCAGTCTTCAAAATTCTTCCCTGAGCTATTGAATCAGGAGAATTACTCTTTTTCCCATCGTAGGGTCACTGTAGTATTCTAACTCTTATTACAATTTGAAATTATATTGTATTAGTGTGCCCCTTACACTAGACGGGAGAGATAAGTTCTTTATGACAACGGTCTCTTGCTGTTATATATTCACAACTCAGTAATGAGTCATAACAGATAAGACCCCACAATAATCCAGAAACTTTATTAAAGTTGGACAGAAATATAGATTATGAGCTAACGGGACATAGCAAAAATGGTTTGAAATTGCAATTAAATCAAATAGTTGCCATAAAAATTCCATCAGAATTTTTAGTGTATTCTAAAGTAGGGATATTTTTCGTTATTTCTCTTAAGCTTTCCTATTCTGGCAAGGGAACTGGAAATACAAAGTGTTTCCTGAAGTCCATTTCACTTTCCTTCTTGATGTGTGCTACATTTAATGGAAGATAATTCAAATTAGTATACAGTTTTAGACAGAGTTTTCTAAGTCATAACATATTTCAAGATATTATTTTTATCATTAATATAATACTATACTATACATTTCATTCTTGGCAATTAAAGAGAGATTTATAAATATAAAATAATGTTCTCAAGTCCATGAAACATGCATGCTATAAAACTAGGACTCAATGTGTAATGTGATATTCATAGATATTTCTCTTGTATTATATTATACATTTTATATGGACTTTTAGAGTGTGCATGATATACATAATATCATATCAGGCTCTGTGGCATTAAAGAATTAGGGATCCATTCTGAAAAAATTTCAGATTGGATTAGAGTGGGTAAAAGTAGAAATTACACAGTAAGACTAAATTTATCCACTTGTGCCTCATTCTAGGAACCCTAGTGGGTTAAGCAATGGGATGCTAACTACAAGGCTGGTAGCTCAAATCCAGTACCTACTTTGCAAAACGAGGCTTTCTGTTCCCATACAGATTTACATCGTTGGAAAACCTACAGAAGAGTGTTGCTCCGCCCTGTCGCAGCTATGCTCAGACTTGACTTGAGGGCAACCAAGAGACTTCACTGTCATTCTAGTCAACCAAACTGACTACGAGAGAGAAGCACCTTCACCCGTGAGAACTGATACTACACTGCACGGAGCCTGGTGGCACTGTGGGGCAGAAGTTGGGCTGCTACCAGTTGGCAGTTCAAACCACCCGCTCCTCCAGGGGAGAAAGATAAGGTTTCTGCACCTACAGAAATCTTGAAAACCCTGTATAGTGCTGCTATCAGTTTGAATTGACTTGATGGGAGAAGGTTGGCAGTAGATCTTAACCCTGACTATGTTTTAGAATAAAATGAGCATTTCTTGAAAATACTGAAATCTGAGGACATCCCACCAATGCTCCTTGGATTGGAGGGGGGGGTGGTGGTGATGTAGCAATCTGTGCTCATAAAATATTTCAGCCTTGGAAATCCTATGGGCAGTTACACATTGCTCTCGAAGATTACTATGAATCAGAATCAATTCAATGGCAATAGGTGTGGCTGGGGAATATGCAGCAGTTCTGAGAACTGGTGGGTCTATTGGAATAAAGGAAGTATTTTTAAATACAATGAGACAGACGTATGGTAGATGTGTCAAGATGTGTGTACACAAGATGCAGTACGCATCAAAATCCAAAGCCCCTCATCTGCACTGCTGGGACGCGGAGCAGCCTCGCAGAGGAAGGGGCATGTACACCCAGACAGGAAGGGAGCAGAGCAGCCATCCAGGCAGCTCGAAGACCACATGCGAAGGCTGGGGTGAATGAAAGCCAACTGTTCTGAGACAGTTGCCATTTGACTGAAGCGCAGATGGCAAGACGGTTTCAAAAGAAGAGTTTGAGAGGTAAACGAGGCCTAAATCATAAGGAGCCCGTACGCTATTTAAAGGAATTTTGTCGTATACAAAGGACAATGGGATGCTATTGAAGGGTATTACATTGACTGGGATTTTAGAAGAGACTCTCTGGCTGCAGTGCTGAGAACAGATTGAAGAGCTCCTAACAGGATGAAGAGCTCTATTGAAGAACCAACAGAGAGCTGGCGGCTGTTAACATAGCTAATAATGACAGCCTGGTCTATGGAAACAGCAGTAAGACTAGTGATTTGAGAATCATTTAAGGCAAGAGTCACATAGACAAAAGAGCAAAATACAAAAGAATTGAGGATTAATCACAAATTTCAGACTTGGGTCACTAGCTGAATGAGATAGGGATTTGCTAATAATGATCATAAAAACAGCCAATTTTTTGAGTGCTTGCCAGGTACTAGGTGTTGTTAAGTTCTTTATATTAGTTTCCTTATTTAGTTTTCCAAGCATCCCTTTGAGTTAGAGATTATGATAATCCTCAGGCTAGAGAGGACTGAGATTTTAAAGGTTCAATGTCAAGTTCATAAATGGCAGAGCCAAGAATGGAACTATGATTCATGCTCTGAGCCACCACTCTGCATTGCTCCTCAGTGGGAAATAAAATAAAGAGCCAACTGCAATAATGTGGTCAGAATGCCTCAAAAGAGTTGGAACAACCAATTGGGAGTAGCTATCTATCTCATTTTTGCTTGAAACTGGGATAACACTTACTAGCTAGGCTATAGATTAGCTGTCTGTATAATTATCAAGCAAAAGCGGGTGTTTATTCCAGAGATCTGTACTCCCTGTAAACTCGTAGCCAATGAGTGGATTTCAACTCACAGCAATCCGATGGGATGGAATGGAACTGCCCACGTGAGTTTCTGAGACTGTAATTCTTAGGAGAGTAGAAGAACTTGTCTTTTTACTTTGCAGTAGCTGATGCTTTCAAACTGCTATGCTGCAGTCAGCAGCCCAACCCGAAATTACTATGTCACTAGTCTATAGTCAGCACCAAACCAAACCAAACTCACTGCCATCGAGTCAGTGCTGACTCACAGTGACCCACAGGATGGGATAGAAATGCCTCTGTGATTTTCCAAGATGGCAGTGCTCAATGGGAGTAGAGAACCCGTCTTTCTCCTGCAAACAGATTTCAAACAGCTCACCCTGCGATGCACTGCCCAACTCAGAATCACTACTTAGTAGAAATTACCCCAAACTGTATATGGGAAAGTCATGGGTTTAGTAAAATATGAAGGGTGTTGCTTTCAAATTCTATCTGTGCCATTGTTACAGACATAAAAGCATTGTTCAAAATTTCAATGGACAAACTCCTCTAAGATTGAGATGAATTTACATTTTTATATAAATGTGGTTAGACTGAGTAATTTTTTTACTTCCCCTCGCGTTCCAAAATTCTCTAATATGAATGTTTATTGTTCCCATAGAAAAAGTAATCATAAATATTAAAAGATCTTATTTGGGGAATATCAACATTAATGACATTACTTTTAAAATAAGCATGAATAAAGTCATAAATTGGTTGTACAGACAGAAATAACTTACAGCTGATTTGTTTTTGTCTCAATGAGTTTTTGAATGCTGAAATCACTAGAAAATGAGAAAATCTTCGTGCCACATCCTCCCCACATTATGTTTTTCTCAGCTGAACTCACGGATTCGCTCAAACACATCACAGGGGTGCTGACATTTCCTATATTTAGTATCTTCAGAGGAGCGGCTCCTTTACACTTTGTCAAAAAAGAAACAACACACTCTTAACAACATGAATAGCTGTGTACATTCAAACACTGCGGAAACTACTTTGAAAAACGAATTGCTCATTTTCAATGATTAGCGAGGTGACAGTAAAAATTCTGGATACACGTTTTAAATGATCTGTAGAAAAAATCAATTGGGACTGAAGACACTATCCCATGAGCAACCTTTTCAGTTCTCCAGGCACCCCCATAAAAACAATTTTTCATTTGAAACAGGGTACCGAGACAAACCTACAGAAACATCTAAGGGTTACACTTTACTCCTCTGTCTTCCATTTGACGGCAGCCTTTAGCTAGCCCATGGAGTGAATGGGCCACAGCAGAGCGGATACTCGAAGGACTAAAGGAGAATCGGAAGACTCCAGAAGCTACGTGATTTGTTCATTTTAGGTTACAAATGTAGAAGGCTAGACTCAAAATTTAAGTTTTCTTGTTCTTTTCCACAGCATATTTATAAGGAGTATTATCACAGTACTTCACAACGTCTCTGGGTAGCCATTTATGGTTTGAACTTGACTCCTAACCTAAAGGTTGGAAGTTGGAACCAACCCATGGTGGTACATAAAGTGGGTGTGGACATCTACTACTGGGGAGATTACATCCTTTTTATAAAAGATAAATTTTTTAAAATATAAAAAACAAAAACCCAGAGAACAGTTCTACTTGGTATCATCATGGGTTTGAATTAACTCAACAACAACAGATGGTGTTTATATGTGCATCATATGTTTAGAACCAGAAATGCACCCATTGCTAACCTTATAAATCAGACCTCACCTGTCTTTTTTACCTTAGCACATTCAAATAAATAACCAAGAGAACCTTATCAGAGAACCTACTATGCATAAAACTATATGAAGTGATAAAAAAGCTCAATTAATAATCCTAGCTCCTAAGGAGCTTAAAGTTGTATAACGAGGAATGAGCAAACATAAAACAAAATAACTGAAACCGATTGTGTGGTTGAACGCAGGCATTTACCTTAACAGCTTTGTCTTCAAAAATCGCTAAATTGCCATCAGCAGTCCCCACCAAAAGAAAATGTTTTTGTTTACTGAAAAGGAAAAATACTAAATTACTACAAAAAGGAACATTTTTATCCAAATAATTTCAACTCCAAAATACAGTGGGGTTTATATCTCAAACTTTCAAAAATTGGTGCATAACATTTTTTTCTGCCAAGTTTTTCCAAAACTGACAACAAAGAGCAGCCTAAGGGTTGCTGGAATTTACCCTCCCCCAGATATACAGCAAGCAGCTGTTACTCCTGACTGTATTCTGCCATTGAGATAAATCCCTGGAGACAGTATCCTTTCAATCGAAAAAGCTGCAGTCATTTTCCACTATTAACTGATAATTTTTTTTATTGGAATCCCCCCACCATCCTATTTTGGTAGTGTGTTAACCGACAGGTTTTAGATTGCCACATAATGGACTGTTGGTATGCACAAATCCAAATAAAGTGGGTGAGAACCCATGTCCCTACAAGTCCTACAAAAGTAAACTGACACTGTGGTAGATCAGAGAAACAGTACAGGGCTGGAGGCCCTAAAACCTGGTTCACCTACTTTATGTGTTAGATCTATGTATGTCAACGGACAAACACATCTTTGTGAGGTCCCACACTTCTCTCTGATATGCACAATCCAATAAAAATAAGTTTAAAATGAGCTCTGCTTGCGGGCACATTAACAATTTAGCACACACAAAAAATTTAGTTCACCTAAATGGTGTTTAATACGACCCCCAGCCCCAGTAGGTCAACTGTATCTCTGTACCTTTGCTTGGGAAAGGAATTGCAATACAAGCAAGTCACAGAATCGGTCATCTTGTCCAGTGCGTGTCTCTTTTTCCCATCTTCAGTGTTGATGACCAGAAGAGTGCCCAACTGGGTTCCCAAGACAATCCAGCTTTCCCTCTCCACAGGCAGGCACACCACGGCTAAACATAATATTCTACCATCTGTGACTTCCTGTTAGGAAGACAAAACATACGCTGAAGCGCCTTTGGCATAGCTTCAAAGGCCAGAACACAGATATTCCAAATATATTTTATAATTAACAAAATTAACTCGATTTTTTCACTGGCAAATATTCAAAAACATTAATTTTATTTAATTCTCAGCAACAAATGAATGAACTAATAAACAACTCTTAACTATCTAGAATACATCTGACACTAAATTTAAAAAATGAAATTATGTTTGCATCAATTTTTGTTTCATCAAATTAATGAGAGGATTGTCCAACCTTTAATATTTAAGCACAACAAAGAGCCAGAAGTTTGATTTCTTCATAAGATAAAAAATTATCTTATTTGTCAATGCAATTTTGTGATTTATCTTGTAGCAGCTGTTGTAGGAGTCCCAGCCAGAATTCAACCTCCACCTGCTCTCAGTGTTGGTTACTGACAGCTCAATTTGGAATCTTCACCACAGAATTACCCATTGCCCATAGAAAGGGACCTGCCAGGACTTTCAGAGAGGCTGTACAGCCCTCACTCCAGGGTCAGCCCCTTTCCTCATGATTGGACGATCCCATAATGGCTATTCATACTTCAGAGTTCCTTGTAGGCAAAGGCTGAGACTTAACTACCTCAGAAATCACATTTGTGCTGATTTCTCATTTTCTTATGGCACCTCCTGGATCCTTTACTTCTTTCTAAGTTTCTTTTTCCCTCAGTCACAGGAGAATCTGTGATTGCCTCAAGCTCTGCCTCTAAGTAACTTGTCCTAAAACCCATCTATACTTGATTCTAAGATCGCATACAGCTTATTTAATCTCATATGAATATTATTATTCTAACAGTAATCTACTTTAGTAATCTTGATCTATTAACTCTTATTTAAGTAGAAGATGTTTGAGCGCATGCCTTAAAGTATAAGGTTTGAATAGAAGAATGTCCTTCCTAAATAACTTTTCAAGTCATAGATCATATAGAGTGACCTACAAAAGAAGCTGTATGGAGTCATCTCCAACATAAGAGTGCTGAGATTTACTACCTCAGAAGTGTGTTGTTCAGTATTCAAGTCAAGACAGGAGAGCTGCCCTTTATCAGCGTGTCCACAGCCCAGCCAGATGCTTGCACTGCTTTTGCTGTTATGATTTGTAGCAATCATGCATTCCACGATAATGTGTTTAGGGATTAAAGTATATCTCATCAGGCAGACGAGCTCTGCTGAATTCAAGATGTCAAAGACCTGAGAAAATTTTAAAAACAACATAACAACACATATTAATTTTAACAATCTCTTATTTAAAAATCGGATTATTGTGCATATCAAAGAATTAAATGTTAAATATCAAGCAACACCTTAATTTGTTACTTAATGGTGTCCCTTATGCACCATTTAGATTAATAACCCAAGCTATACACAAAATTATATTTAAAATTTTTTAATTATTTTAAAATGATGCAATGACATGTACTTTCATATGCATATTATGTTTTGTGGGGGGTCGGGGGAATTAAATTCCCCAAAGTCATCTGAACAGAAACTTAGAAAAATCAAAGTATTCTTTACTCACTTCTTTTTTTTTTTTTTTAACATTTTATTAGGGGCTCATACAACTGTTATCCCAATCCATACACACACCAATTGTGTAAAGCGCATTTGTACATCGTTTCTCAAAACATTTTCTCTCCATTTAAACCCCCGACATTAGGTCCTCATTTTTCCCCTCCCTCCCCGCTCCCCCCTCCCGCATGAGCCCTTGATAGTTCATAAATTGGTATTTTGTCATATCTTGCCCTGTCCGACGTCTCCCTTCACCCACTTTTCGGTTGTCTGTCTCCCAGGGAGGAGGTCACACACAGTTCCATGTAATCGGTTCCCTCTTTCCTACCCATTCTCCCTGTACCCTCCCTGTTTTGCCACTCACACCACTGGTCCTATAGGGCTCATCCGTCCTGGATTCCCTGTATTTTCAGTTCCTATCTGTACCAGTGTACCTCCTCTGGTCTAGCCAGTCTTGCAAGATCGAATTCGAGTCATGGTAGTGGGAGCGGGGAGGAAACCTTTAGGAACTAGAGGAAGATTGTATTTCTCATCATTGTTGCATCGCACCCTGACTGGCTCATCTCCTCCCCGAGACCCCTCTGCAAGGGGATCTCCAGTGGCCTACTAATGGGCTTTGGATCTGCACTCCGCACTCCCCCCATCATTCACTATGGTAAGATTTTTTGTTCTGATGATGCCTTACACCTGATCCCTTCGACACCTCGTGGTTGCATAGGCTGGTGTGCTTCTTCCATGTGGGCTTTGTTGCTTCTGAGCTTGATGGCCGCTTGATTACCTTCAAGCCTTTAAGACCCCAGACGCTATACTTTTTTATAGCCGGGCACCATCAGCTTTCTTCGCCACATTTGCTTATGCACCCATTTGTCTTCAGTGATCCGTTCGACACCCCGTGGTCACACAGGTTGATATGTTGTTCCATGTGGGCTTTGTTGCTTCTGAGCTAGATGGCCGCTTGTTTACCTTCAAGCTTTTAAGACCCCAGACGCTGTATCTTTTGATAGCCGGGCACCATCAGCTTTCTTCACCACATTTGCTTATTCACCCGCTTTGTCTTCAGCGGTTGTGTCGGGAAGGTGAGCATCATAGAATGACAATTTACTAGAAGAAAGTATTCTTGTGTTGAGGGAGTACTTGCTTTACTCACTTCTATACTACAGTGCTGACACTATTAAAAGCCACCATCAAATGAAGACAAATAAATATTTGGTCCAAAAATACTGTAGAGGAAAGGGAATTTCTATCTCTGCTAACAGAATTTAGCAGTCATCCCTCTATTGTTTGTATGTTTCCCTTTAAACACCGAAGAAGTTGAGTGGATGGGAGCAAGCATGAGGAAAGGAACCTGCAGTCCGAGACTGGGAGACAATGTCTTGGTTGGGCCATTGTCCTGCCGCACAGGAGACTCTCAGAAAGCTGTGTACTATCTCAATGCCTCGTCTGCTGAAGATATGGCTTGACACATCTTGCCTACGATGTACTGAATTTTAAAGATAAAATAAATATATTGAAGTATCTTGAACACAGTGTCAGCTACTATGGTGGTGGGGTAATCAAAATTATCCTGGGCAGGGATTTCTTTTACATGGCTTTCTAAACACAGTCTTTGTAACTCCTACCAAACAACCTTGTCCTGATGGGTCTGGGTAGGAAGGTGGGAGCAGCTACTGATAAGCATCTATGATTCAGCTGTGAGTGATTACTAGCAGAGTTAGTGTGATGGCCATTGGCTGGGTATAAAAGCAGGCATCCCTCAATGGGTTGGGGGTGGAGGGGTGGCTAACCTCCGCAGAACCTGCATTGGCCTTGTACGGCCGATGATGTGATTTCCCCCCTCTTCCCCTTAGGTAGGCAGCAGTGATCAGATGCCATCCACACTTTATCCCTGCCCCCATTTAGTCTATAAGATACAGGTGACATATGATTGATAAAAAAGGGAAAATAAATGTTTAAATAATGTGATGGAACATTTTCACAATGATAAAATAAGTAATTCTATTGTGATAAATAAAGCAAAATTAACACTGGTAGTAACCTAGTTAAAGAACAAGGAGGCCAATAGCCAAGGTAATTATAAAATGTAATGCTTGATAAAATCAATGTAGATAAACACTTGGCTGTTTTGACTAGGGAATTTAAAGTTTTCATTAAATATAATCAGTAAATTCTACAAAAATCAACACTTCCTAACATATACCGTTCTGGATTGATGCATCCGAATTTAAAACCGAAGTGTCTGGTTATGAATATGATGGGTGAAGATATTTGGGCAAAGCTTCCAACAAATAAAACTATTTACAAATTATTTAGCAAAATCCAATAAATAAAAAACCAATGTTTTAAAGATACTGAGAATCTTAAACATCACCATAAGCAATTATCAGGCCAAGGTCTTAATGAAACAGAAAATGGAGGTCAGTTTTAGTCTTTCAGTCAAAGCTAGATTTGTCCTGTGGGTACTTGTCTATCAAAGCCAAGGCTAATTTGATATGTGTGTTTTGGGACTTGCAGAGCCATGGAGAACCTGGTGGCTTAGTGATTACACGCTAGGCTGCTAATTTCAAGATCTGCAGTTCAAAACCACCAGCCTGCTCCACAAGAAAAAGACATGGCTTTCTACTTCTGTAAAGACTTACATGCACAGAAACTCACAAGAGCACTTCTACCCTGTCCTATAGAGTGGTTATGAGTCAACAGCAACTCAACAGCAACGAATTTGGTTGTTGCTATGGAGCTGTGTGGGGAGAGAAATGTGCAGAGCCCACAAAACTAGGAACCTTGGTCGTGCTGTTGGATACGCTTTCATTTGCCAGCTCCCACACCTGCAGTTCAAACCACCAGCCACTCTGCAATAGTAAGATGGGGCTGTCCGCTCCTGTAAAGATGTATAGTCTTAGAAGTCACAGGGAACAAGTTTACCCTGTCCTATAGGCGAAGGAGGGAGAAAGGCAAGCCTTTCTACTCCAGTAAAGAGCTACAGTCTCGAAAACTAAAGGGGCAGTTGTACCCAGTCGTATAGGGCCGTTATGCGTTGGCAATGACTGGATGGCAGTGAGTTTATCAGCTAAGGATCTCTGGTGGTTATGCATTGGATTGCTAACTACAAAGGCCGCGATTCAGAATGACCATCTGCCCCATAGGAGAAAGATAAGGCTTTCTGCCTCCTTAAAGGGTTAATGTTTCAGAATCCCATGGGGCAGTTTTACCTTGTCTTATAGAGTCACTATGATTAGAAATCGATGACATGAGGGCAGTGGGTTCTTTTTTTTGCGGGGGGGGTTCTTTAATGGGGTCATGAGTCAGAATCAACTCAGTGGCAGTGGTTTAAAGGGTATCCATAATATGGCATCCCCAGGGGTTACATATTATAGTAAATGCAAAGCAGAAATGCAACTGTGCACTTTCATGGGCCTACCAGGGATGTGTACCCTTGTGACTGTGCAGAAAAAGGTAGTAAAGTGGAAAAGAATTCTGAAAAATTGTCATTCACAAGCCTTCTGTCAAAAAGATCTGTAGACCAGATTTTCAATACCTGGTTCCTTTTAAAACTTCTCAATTCAAGTATCAAGTTTATGTAAAGCAATTTGATGCAATTAAATCCAGCAAAAGGTTTATAAGACATGTTTGCAGAATTATGAAATTTCATTCCTTAAAAACAGATTCTTAAGAAAACCCAAATAAATGACGAGAGAACCCACAGTCAGGACTAGGAAATCTTAATACCATCCTATCCAAATTGTCTACAGATTCAAGAAAAGCCCACTCAGTGCACAATAGGGATTTTTCATAAAATTTGACAACATGACTTTACAGATTGCATGGAACAACTAAGGCAACAAATATCCAAAACGCTCCTGTTGGAGAAGTAAGCATCAAAGTAGGATTATGATGAAGCTACACAGATCATGACAGTGCAGAGCTGAAGGAATAATGTTGCATAAACTGACTGGTAGAAGAGTAAGGATGCTTACGCGGGTGGACACAGTGGTTGTTGCAATGGGCTCAGTCATAACAATGGTTGTGAGAACGGGCAGTGTTTTGTATTGTTGTATGTGATTGTTGGTTTTCTCTAGTCCTTTGTTTCGGTTGCTGTGGTTTTTGAGAGCCCTGCAGCCTACGGGGCTCATCTTTTGGGTTGCTGTACACAGGGTTGCTATGACTAGGAACTGACTCGATGGCTCCTAACCATAAGACCAAATCAAGACCCCAAGACTTCCACATATTTTTAAAAATTAAGAAACATGATAGTATCAAAATTTAGGAATAATATATAATAAAGAAATAGCCATTCTAATACTCAGATAGTGGCAGTATTAAACTGATATAACTTCAGAAACAATGTGAGTATTGAAATATCCTAGGACAGTGCAATTATACTTCTTGGTATATGGATACCCCAAGGAAATTCTAATATAATTTATACCAGGAAACATATTTATTAGCAACACTATTTGTGACAACAAAAAAGCTGGAGACCAGGCTCGAGGACATGAAAATGATGAAGTACATGTTAGGTTATTCAAACAGTGCAAAGTAACAGCACTAAAAATAATCAAGATTTATACTCAATATCATAAACTTTCCTTACAAAATAAGTTTGGGGGAAAGTAAGATTTCATAACACTAAATGAGCATGAGTCTATTTAAACCACACAAGATTATGAAGCTATAAAGCTAAGCAAAGCAATTCAAGAGTGTTTATATATAGAGAGAAAGGAGGATGCGGACGATGCAACCAGGAAGAGGCATTTGAGAAATGCCCGGCATTGGCAATGGTATTGCCTTGTGAACATTTCAAAATAAATAGCATTATGTGTGTATGTACACAGCTATTGTAGAAAATTAAATCATGTGACTATAAGATTACCTGGGCGGAAGTAGGCCTTTCCTGAGGATTTTCTTTCAAACACTCCTTAATTAGCTTCTCAACTGCAGGCCATGGCGCACAACTGTAATCTTTAACTGGGTCTAAAACATTAAAAACATATGCTAGATCATGAAAGAACCAAACAATATTCTATTCCTTCTCAATGTATAGTAGAAGTTCAAACATTGTAAAAAGAAAAAGTCATCCTGTAGCCCTAGACTTATTCCAAATTTGTTGATCTGTACTAGAGATTAAAAAAAATGAGGAGAAAGATAAAGGGAAACTTGAGTTTTATTGGACAAAAGAGACACGAATGCCAGTTGAATAAAATAATGGAGATGTATTCCATAACTGTATTTCAAATTTGCCCATATAATAATTAGGCCTCTACATAAACACTTTTTATCTAACATTCAGCATGGGCAAGCATTTAATCCTTCTACCCCCACAGGCAGTTTGTGTGAATCTGCTTCTTATAAGAATGTGAGTGTTCTGACTGGGACGGACTAGGGGCCTGGACACTTTCACTGCGCCCTAGCTGGCAAAGTGATGGAGACGGGCCATGTTGTGTTTGCAACTTATCCAAACAACAAAATATTTTCTTCTCATCAATATTGAAAGCCCCCAGCTCTAGGAGATAGTTAAAGCTATATTCTTTGTATCTGTCATATTACAGAGTTATAAATACATACAGACACAGTTCAATAAATTTAAAAGAATACTTTGCAGTGGGAACTGAACTAGTATTCAAGGAATGAATAGCAATGGCTTAGAATTTCTTCAAAGCATGAGATAACTATTAAAATGAAATTTGACCTCATTCAATTCTCATTTACCAAATCTTTTTAATATTTACTATTAAAATTATTATGAATAATTCAAGCTCCCATTCCTGCATATAAATTATTTCATTCTAAGAAAATGAAAACACTCCAGGCTATTAGAGACATAGTAACTCCTTATGTGAATTATAAATCATCAAATCTGGTGCTCTAAGGGCAATTTATTTTCTTAAGCATTCTTCTAATTATAACTTTTTAAAAATTAGCATTAATTTGGAACACTTAGTTAAAATAGTGTAAGAGCTAACTTTTATCATGTGAATTTTATTCATGTGCCACAGGAGTTAGGAAAATTTCATAAACCAAACAAAAAATTCCCAGTAGTGAAATGAATGAAATCTACAACTGTATTTAAATAAACTGGGAATACACTTGCTGACATTAGGAGATACAGTAAAACTTACCAGGTAATTTTCCTTGTATTGCCAACTCATCAAATTCATTTGGAAACTTCAACCCCTCTATTATTCTACTTCCAGTTGTCAAAATGTCATAGAGTAGTAAACCAAATGAATAAACATCAGCTTGTTGGTTATAAATAACATTTCCTTTGGCAACTTCAGGTGCACGGAAGCCTGGAAGTAATCAGATATGTGAATAATTACTTGACATTAGGGTCCACAGCGAGGGATATTCTTAGGCATGTCAACTTAAAAAAAAAGAAAAGAAAAGCAAGAAACTTAGAGGCATGTACTAAAACCCAGGCTATGTCATGTAAATGAGACTGTGATCAACTCCACTAACTGTCCCAGAATCATTTACCCTAAGGTAATATTTTAAAGAATATTAAGGATAAGCATTCAATAGCAGATTGTTGCTGCTGTTCTTCGTTATTATGTTCATTCTAACTCATAGCAACTCCATCTGACTGACGCGCACTGCCTCCTGGGGCTTCCAATGCTGTGACCTCTCTGGGAGCAGAATGCCAGTCTTTTCTTTTGTGGAACCACCAGCCTTTCAGTTAGCTGCCCAGCGTTTTGTCGTTGTGCAGCTGACATGTAACTCATCAGAATGTTAAGTACAGTACACCTACTACCGTAATTTGTTAGGAAAAACACCTGGCAGCCTGCTCATCAGCCTTTGCCACCCTCACCTTGTGTTCTTACCGTTTACTAATCAAATGCAATTCAAAATGACTTGACTGAGATGCTTTCTCCTGGAACCCTTAACCCCAGAACCCCAAATGGACTGGAAAGAAGGACTAGAGGAGAAGGGGCAAAAGGTGGTAGGATGTAAACTTTCGACAGAAAACTTGATCATCAACCACAACCTTGCGAAGACCCACCAAGCTATTCTACGCACAGCTTGATCTCTGTGCACCAATGGCCGCTGATCAAGGTGCTGTGCCTTATACTTCACTATACTTGTCACCCTGCTGGTAGAAAGCAGAATGTATATTCAAGCCAATCAATGTATACACCACTTAATTTAATTTATAGGTCCAAATCAACACTTTTCATAAAACTTCCTGAGGTTAGGAAAGGCTCAAAATAAGCACCTTCCCTGCATCTTTTAAATCATACTACCACGATGTGAGTGAATGATGGTCAGTGTACACAAACTATCATACAACATGAATGTGCTATTTAGTATCAATGGCCTCAAACGTTAGAAAACTAAAATGCTCACTGGCATGCTGGACATACGGTGTTGTATTAGGGCTGTTAAAATAAGTCATTTAGCAAAGTGTACTTATCAATTCTGCTTCCAGCTAAGGAGAAACTGGACATATTTACCATCCTGATTGAAACAATTAAATACTAGACAAAAAAAAATAGGACAAGGATTCTCAGAGATAGATTGGGGATCAGGACTATAGGATAGAAATCCCCGAGAGAAAGGCAGCAAACCCAGGGAGCTGGGTGAGGCCCCTGCAGAGAGTCCCCACCCACAGCACAGGGAAGGGGACAAGGATGAAGCGATGGTGACTAGAACTGTGCCCCAGGGTGTGCTAACTCAGCACTTCATTCACTTCGTTTTCACAGCAATCCTATAGGAGCTCGTTGCTCTCAAGTTGATTGCAACCCTACAGAAATAATAAGCCCTCTAGCCTGAACCAGTACGTGATAGAAGGTCTAGACAGTCTGATTCCAGAGCTCATGTTCATTAAAATGCAGGCTGTTAACAGTAAACTCAGCCCTGTTTGTCTCAGAACACTCAAAATCTGCTACAATGTCTAGAATGTGCTTTAGAGGGATTAATTCAAGTAACAGTGTCTTATTTTGTTTAAAAACAACTTTTTATTGTGAATTGGGAGAGCATTACAGAGCAAACCCATCTTCCACTCAATAATTTATACAGATTTTGTTTCAGGCTATTGACCATAATCCCCATAATGTAAGATCGCTGCCCTTCATGTGTTGTCTGTTTCCACTCCTCCTCCTTTTCTAAGCTCTCCTGCCTTTATGAATTGCGTTCTGATGCTGCCCTGTTGACCTTACAGGTATGAATACCTCCCCAGTGTTCTTGCTACCCTTGATTCTCGTGGGGGTGTTCAGTGCAGACCTGAAAAAGACAAGGGATTTAGTCTTGGGGGTTTCACCTGTTCCTACCTGACCAGTAAGCCCAGTGATTTTTTTTAATTATTATTTTTTAATGATTTTGAGCTTTGTTCCATATTGTTCTCCCACTTTATGCAACCTCCTTTTAATGGAATCCCTGTCACTAGACGGAGGCCAGGCACCATCTAATGCTTCTGGCCTCAGGATTGTGGAGGTTTATCTCTACTTGGTCTACTAGTAAACTACTAACTGTTCCCATGCAGCTTTCCTCTTCTTCATTCTTCTGGGTTCTGGACAGGGTGAGACCAGTCGTTATGGTTTAGATGGCTACTCACAAGCTGTTAAGACTCTAGTCACTTTTCACCATGCAGAACTCTGCATTATACCATCGGACCTTGGTGTCCTCTGAGACTATGGTTCTGAGCGTCCAGTCCTAATGACTCATTTCCTCCAAGTATTTGGTTATGGATAAAAAGGCTTCGCCACTTCCCTTTGTAAGCTCTCCTAGGTTTATGGATATATTTGCAGTCTAAGTAAATATATCTGTCAAACCTGTAAATCTGTGTGTGTATAGTCCCATTTCCCTTCCCACCCCTGTTCAGCTTGCATATCTATCTATGCATCCATTAGATCATTGTTACTTCAGGACTGTGTCTA